GGCATTGTGCTGTGGTAGAGACCTGAAGAGACAGGGCAGAGGGCTTGTGGGTCAGAGGCTGACCCTCTGAGGTAGGCAAAACCATCATGCCATTACGCAGTCACCGTGTGTGTCAGGTTCTGTCATAGCTCCAAAACACAGCAGCAGACATGATAGACAGGACTCCACCCTGGAGGACCTTACCCAGAACTTACCAGCTATGGTTTCCTAGAAGCAGAGCTTCCTTGGAGGGAAATTCCCACTGAAATGACAAGCACACACAGTGAGATGCAAAGGGGAGATGTACATATAAACAACCCAACAGAAGCAGGAGGGGCAGCAGTATTGGCCAAGGCAACAGAAATGGGGCCATAAATTAATGAAAATGGCCAGTTCAGCTATGGCGATGTCTATACAACAGAGAGTAAACTGGCAAGGTGAGCCAATGAAAGATAAAGGGGAGGCAGTGAGGATAAAGAAATCTACCCCCAAATCATCACACTCCACTGAAAGACATTGTCCAATCAGAGGTAAATGCTTTCCTGAATCTTTTTTTTTTTTTTTGAGAAATGCTGTATGGTGTCTCAAATTAAACCTCTATTTACGCATGAAATGATTGATATGTCAAACATTGGCCAATCAACCTAGTTTCAAGGAAGAATTTCAAATTGAATATTTTCTTATTTTCATGGCAAAGCTCTTCACAGGACCCTCTAAGTTGGGAATAATACATCTTCAAACATTTGATTCCTATCTTTTTCTGCTCTTCTTACAAAGCAGTTAATGACAGCCATTTCAATTTTTGGCTGCAAATATTATTTTAGAGCTCTGCCACCAGTGTAAACATCTTCATTCACTTTCCCTTAAATTGAACCATTTTAGTGAATAAATTATTCAATGTCAGAGACCTAGACAAGGAACCGCATTACTCTGAAACAAGTTGAAATATTGTATTTGAGACTGGCAAGTTGTCATGGCAAATTGGGTGTGACCCATCACCCCTCCTACTCCCTCAACACTTACCATTTTCCTTAAGCTTCTTTGACTGAATCATAAGTCTGGAAAACTCAATTTGGTGACTGTGGGGAGACAGACCTTAATTGAAAAGTTCATTTCTAATGAAATTCGAAGTGGTAAAAGGTTGGGCTGGCAGGGTGGATCATTTGAGTCTTTATTAATAACACCAATTCATTTTAATTCAGTGGAGCACATAATTAGCATCAAGCTTTTCAAGTTCACCGCACAATCATGTGCTTGGAATCACTAATATTTTTTAAGTTTTTCTTATTTGGTAATAGGTGTTTTACTACTTTGCATTTAAACATGAGGTTACTTGTAGCTGGCTTATACTAATTATAAGTGTGTTGAGTTTTATTAAGCCAGTACCCTTCGGCCAGGGACAAATCTTTCTTAGTCTTAACTTGAATTCTCTGTAATTATTCTGCAGTCAGCTAAGACTCAAGCAAAGAGATGAATGAGGCCCCTTGAGATTACTGCACCTTGAATAATAAGAGGTGGTCACAGGGGTCAATTACTGTTCCAGTTCATTCCTCAGCTGCTGCATGCAAATCTGTTTACTGGGAGCTTAGAGAAGGCACTGGTGGCATTTGTCTCCTTACCTTTATGTCTGAAACTGCAGCCATCCAGCAATGCAAGACCCAGAGGGCTCAAATGGACCATCTCCATGGGAAGGGAAGGATCTGTGAAAAAGACTGTGCAGTTGAGAATGATCACTTCCCCTCTCTGGATGGAAGAGAAACAGAATTGTTGGAATAGTGAATGAGAGTCCAGACATGAGTTTTCTAATCTTCTTTGGCTGAGATAACCAACCAACCACAAACCTCAAGATGGTAATCTTCCGGATTCTTGTACTGTCATGCAATTTTATACAATATGGTTTATATCAAAGGAAAGGTGTTAAGAGGGAAGCCCTTTCATCAAAGTATAGACAAGTGAACATACCCCATAAATCTAGTCACTGTAGCATTTGACATGTGGATACCCTCTTAGGAGATGAATACACATGCATAATATTTCCATTTCAGCTTGGTGATGGTTTTTTAATACCTGTTAGATGTTGCTAAGATTATAAAGATAATAATACACACTGCTTTCAGTTTCCCAAGCTCAAAGAAGAAAAATATACACAAAGAACATCATTAGTTCACAAATGAAGTGGATAAGCATTGTTCATACAAATGGGTTTCTATAAACTTGCAGGATTTGGATAGTAAATTCCAGAATTTAAAGTTTATCAGTCCTGGCTGGCTATCCATTTGGTGCAAATTTGCTTTTTGTTTTGTTTTGTTTTTGTTTTTGTTTTTGTTTTTTTGGTATTTTAGTATAGGTCTCTAGGTTCTGACCCAAACTTCAGACCTGGTATTTATATTTTCAGCCTTTCTTCCAAATCAGTATTTGGTCACTCTCACACCAGAAAAAGATTCACGTTTTAAAACCTATACAACAATCAACCAAAGCTTTCCCAGTTCCAAAGGAGAAAGTCACATCTTCACTAATCCTCTAGGAAAGGAAATGGGAAATCTTTAGTCAATCTCAATTCACGTTGTCTTAGGTATGTGCTTTCTATAGTTTACCTTTAAATTGAAACAACCTCTCTTTGATACAGTGATAGGAAGAAAAGAGAGAGGCGTTTGACTGCTGGTTTCAATGCACAATTTGTGCTCAACGGGGCAGGCAGAGCACTGTGAGAAGCATTAGAGCTGGGTGGTGGCTGTCCCCACCTTTAATTCCAGCACTTGAGAAGCAGAAGCAGATGGATCTCTGAGTTCAAGGCCAGCATAATCTACATTATGAGTCCCAGGCCAGCCAGAGCTACAATGTGAGACCCTGTCTCAAAAAAGAAGAGAGAGGGGCTGGGGCCATTAGAGTCACTTAAGGACAGTTGATGTCATTTGAGAAGTAAAGGAAGCTAGTGTGGCTATTTTATTGCTTTGCTTCATTGTATCTCAAATTCCCCCATAGGCTCATGTGTCTGAACCCTTGGACTCCAGCTGGTCATGTTGCTTAGAAAAGTTGTGAGACCTGTAAAAGGTGGAACCTTGCTCGACAAAGTAGGTCACTGAAGTTATGGTACTGGAGCAGTAGCTGGGAGTTTTCATCCTGATCCACAAGCATGAGACAAAGAGATGATTAAGAATAATGGGAGCTTTTTGAAACCCAAAAGCCAACCCCCAGTGACATATCTTCTCCAACAAGGCCACTCCTCCTAATCCTTCCCAAACAGTTCCACCAACTGGGGACCAAATATTCAAATGTATGTGCCTATGAAGGCCATTTTTATTCAAACACCACACCATACACTGAATCTTGTCACCATCACTTCAGAAAATATTCAGCCAAAATTCTCTTGGGTGTTACTCTTGACTTTAGTGCAAAATCGAACCTCTTTCCAAAATGTTATTTTCTTGAAATTCACTTCAGTTTCTACACCAACATTTCTGACTGTTCTGCACTTAACCCCACACCATCCCTCTGCTTCAATCATCTCTTCCTCCTCTGACTTGCTAAGAATAGTTGGGCCTTGAGTTTCTGACTTTATCACCTCCTTCCTTCCTGGTCATTTGTTGACATCCCAACTCATCTAAGGAAGTTACAAGCCTCATCATCATCATTTGACTTAGTGGGCAAGTATCGCATCTCTTACTCCACAGCTAAAGAAATAGGTTTCTTTTTAGGCTTGATATTCTCTAAGCTTTAAGGGGAACCACTGAACCTCAACCTCTTTCAGAATATTCACTCTTAATTTCTACCTCTCTATCTAAGATAGAATGGTCCCACCAGATCTTCCTGTCCAAAACCAAACTTATTCTCCTTGTCATAGCACATCAGTCAGAGTAAGATGTTGGAAGGATATTAAGTAACTCAGAGGATTAGGAAGAAGTTTGAAAAATGGTCTCAGCAATAATCAGGGATTAAGTAGGTCCAAGCACATGATTTCCAACAGTAAATACAGGGAAGAAAACAAGGCAAGGTGGTAAGTGTCCACTATAGACATCTTTCCCAGTTGCCAAGACTTGAACTCTTAGTCATCTTTGAATATGTTCTGTAATGTCCACAAGAACACTTCCAGTTCATTTCTTACCACTCACAACCCTTGAACAGGCTCCAAATCATCATCGCACCCCACTCCCTCCCTGTTTCCACTAACTCTGTATCTCGCTGTAGGAAATGTGCCCAGGACACAGATGAAGACTACCTTTTTCCCAAGAAAATTTGCCAACCAGATTAAATGTGAGCTCCTTTTTTCAGATAACATCCTCCAATGTGAAGCCCTTCACTTTCCTTTTCAGTTCCTTCTATCTCATTTTCCCCCTTAGCTATAGTTCCTGTTTGAACTACTAACTGATGTCCAAAACCAAGATTCCCAACCTTTATGCCTCTTCTCATGTTATACCTTATAACCAAAATTCTTTCCCCATTTCTCCTCAGTTAAAACTCTGAGAGCATCTCACTATCTCTTCCTCCCCCCTCAAACCGTGATGGCCTGTTAATCATATCTTCTTCCCACATCATTCGTTATGTTTGCCATTCTTAGAGGACATTATGCATTCTGCTTCTATGATTATGTCCTATGACCTACCCCCTCCTTGTAGGTCCTACATCTTCTGAGATCAGGAGTTATATTGTTTTACTAACCTTTGGCTCTAACTCTCTCCTTAGTCGTAACCCCTCAGCATTCAGGTAACTACTCAATAAATGTTTGTTCAATTTAATTTTCTTTTAGAAAATAGACACAGTAGTTTTATTATGTGTTAATCTGGGCCAAGATGAAGTGACAGCTCTGGATTGGCATCTGTCTCCTCTCCTGGATGTGGGATCTGCAATGATAACTTTGATGTCATTCAAACATGCTCTAACTGTCACAGTTTGTTTAATGTCAATCCTGCACTATCTGATTCACATCTGTAGTCTGTGTCCTACCTCAGTGTTCAGCATGCAGTTGCTACTCAAAAGCAATTGATGAGGACTGATTTTAATTGAGTAGAATCATATCAAATCTAACCTACCTGGATGGAAGCCACAGGAAAGATGGGCCTGATGGGGTACAATTCTTTCTCTCCATCTCATGACTGACCTCTACCAGAAGAGGTGTCCAAAGTTAAATAAGGAAGCATGGTCTTCACAAGAGAGAGCCTTTTGTGGCACATGATCCAGGCAGCTGAAAAACTACTCAGAGTCACAGCGGGAGGGGAGAACCAAAGATAACATGTCTTTAAAACAGATTAGGACATTGTGGTTTGCTGAAGAAAGGTTTATGCTATCTCCTTTGAGTCTTTCTGCCTTTGCTTAAACAGTTTTAAATAAAGGGCTGCAGTCTAATCCTACAAGTCTACAATAATTGATTAAGAAAATGCCAATTTGGGGAGGAAACTGAATTAACATTTGCTAGAGTTGTAAAGTCATTATGTTGACCCCATAGAAGCTCAAAAATCTGATACCAACTATTGTACCCATTTCCTACCTGCTAGTGGGTGAATTGGAGCTGTACATGCTCTTTCCCTGGACCAAGGATCCAGAGTTATAAAGCCCCGTTTCACACACTACAGATGAAGACACCAACCTCCTTGTGACCCCATATAATGCCACCAATCTACCATCATGGAATCTCTTTGCTTCTGGGGGCATTTTGTTTACTATTTTAAAATGCAAACATTTCAGAAAAGGGCTGTGTTATAGTTATCTAAGTTTTGTTTCTGCATCATTTTCTAATGTGTGGTTGAGAGGGAGGAGGACAGAACTGGAATAGTTAGTAGATTCACAGAAACAAAGAGATGTTTGGGGGAAATGGAAGAAGGAACTATCTATACCAAGAAGAAAATTGAGAGCATGAGTAGTTGATGGCTGATAGTGTAGGCAACACTGGGATGACTAGGGAATTCCTTAGCCAGCTCTACTTTCTGTAAGGACATTAGCTTCTAGAAACCTATCACTGTTAAAAGACTGCAGAATAAATAGCCCTTCTACTGTATGACAGAAATCTTTAAAAAATTAATACCCATACCTTCAGAGAACTGACTCATTAGTAGACCCATCAGACAACAGGTTCAGGTGCTGCAACAGTGGTGGATATCAAGGCTACCGAGGCCTCAGACAGGCTCTACCTAGTGAAGCAAACCAAAAGTGACCATCTCTTGTAAGAAATGCAGCCAGAGTACCCTCAAGGACTTGCCCCTCATGGAGCAGTCACCAGCATTTAACATAAAGGTCCCACACTGCTAACATGCACTTCTTGAAAGATGTTCACTACATCTAGCAGTCTGGGCTTGAGGTGGACATGTTTTCTGAATTGCTGTGGGACAACCAATAGAAGGTCAAGGAGACTTCAGAGACTGGAAGAATGGCAAGCAAAGGCCAGGATAGAACTGATAACAAAGCAGAGGCAATTGGCTGCCTTTGTAGTGGAGTATGTCCAGTCCAAAAACAGTAGAAAAGGGCCTGATGCACCTGTCCAGGAATCAGCATCCAGGATGCAGCATCCTCCAGCAAAATCATGACCTGGTATACTCTACTGCCAATACCACCCATAAGCTTAGTCAAGAACCAAGAGGAGCTGGCCTTCAGGCCAGGCAGTGTGAGGGTTTCTGCCTCCTCTCTATGGAGGATAAAGGACACTGAAGAAGCAGCTTTCAGAAGCCACAATCAAAGGAAAGAGAAAATGTGAGGAGGTGATTTGTAACTGTATTATTGTAGACCTTTATTTGTTTACCTAGAA